TAGGCCAACAGCAAGTAAGAGTAACCACGTTTTCTTATCTTGATTCAGCATAGCCTGGCGAGATGACAGACGGATATGCCCGAAATCCAAACAAACATGAGTAGCGAATTTAAAAGAAAGGCAAAGCAGATGTGGCCTCTTTCAGAAACATTATTTGATTTTGATATGCATTGATGTTTCTGGCTAGTTTGCAGACCTTGGCTAATCAAAAACACTGACATTTTCTTCCCTCTCTGGGGTTGTAAGAAGTCTTCTTTGTGCGCTAAACGTGTCTGTGCCACACGTGTTTCGAAGTAGCACTTGTACCTTTCATCGTATGATCCCAGACACGTAGTTTGCATCTTTGAGGGGACTTCTTTCTCCTTCTCCTCTGCAGCATACACACATTCACTTTTACTTCAAGTTTTGCATACGTCTTCAGGAACCGTACAGAACCAGCTGCAGGAACAGGCCACCGCAATTCCGACTGAACACAAACCCATCGATAAAATAACTGCTAAGATGCAAACAATGTGAAATGGAACAAAATCGAGGACCTGCAGCTAAAGCAGAGTTTTAAAAGCCAGCATTTAGATAGATCCTTTTTCTAGACAGCGTGAAACTGCTACACGCTTAGCAATTCCTTAAAAGAGAGGAATCGTTCGTTCATTCATTTATTCCTTCTTTTAACCTGAGAAGTCACGGGAAAGAATTTCTGCACGACGGTTCCAATCGGGTAGCCCTAAAATGGTATTTGATTTCAAGACCCTCAACCTCCCTGGCGCTCTGGTAGCTCTGTCTGTGCCTCCCCGGGGGGCACTCAGTGCGCCGTGACAATTCACGTGTGTCTCCCACTTGGGTGTGCGGGTGCAAAGGCCACGTTTGACGTATTTCTGAAGCTGTGCAGCACGGCAGGTAAAAGTGGCCCCTGGAGTTGAGCTCCCGGGTCCATGTCCCCACACTGCCACTTGTGGATAGTGTGATCTTGATCAGTTCCTTAGCCTTCCTGGGCTTCAGTGCCCTCATCTGGAAAATGGGGCTAATAATAGTCTCTCCCTCAACTGAGTTGCTCTGGGGATAAAGATAATCCATACAAAGCACCTGGCATAGTGGAAAACAACTAAAAGGCTCAAGAAAAGCTATTATATTCGTGTCTAACATAGTACTTGGCTCATCAAGAAGAAAGTCTGAAATGAGAACGAGAATCCCTTCTCTCCTCGGCTTACTCCTGCAATGCTGTACTATTCCGCACTTGCGAATGTAATTCTGTACTTGCAAATGTCAAGTGTGAATTCTCAGGGTACATATTTTCTCTTCAACTAAACAGCGAGCTCCCTAAGGGCAGGGGTAGTGCTGACTACTTCTGGTCCTCCCCCTTGGCGCGGCTGTCCACGAATGCCGGCTGCTTTGGCACGCTAGTTGCTGTCGCACTGCGTGACCAGAGCCTCCACCTGAAGGGCCGCAGCATTTCTCCCTGGGGGCAGGTTCACACGTGGCGAGTCGGGCCTTTTACGTTATTCTGACATAAGGTCCCAGCTTCCCCAGACCACTCAGCTGATCTCCCTGTTGACTCAGAATAGAAAATTTTTGGCATTATCCTGTCTTAGAGGGTAGTGCTGCCTCACCCGGCCAGGGAAATGGCCATAGATCTCATGGTCGTGCCCAACTCACCCAGCTGTAACCCAGTGGGGCCTGGTGGGAATCTGCGACTAATGTGAACGTTCCAAAGGGGAAAAATGGTTTACAAACCAAACTCATCTAACACATTAGGCCAAACCTGTCTTCCAGGGAACTTGGGGGGTACAGCGGGGGAATGGACTGAGCCCTCAATAAATGTCACTTCTACGGATCTAAATTCCGCTTCTTCCATTCCTGTCACTTGAGTCCTGACTTACCACGATTATACAGCACGGCAACCTAAAAGAATGCCAAGATCTTCTATCACTACAGATTTAAGGACATTAGAAGACAGGACAGCACGGGGCGCAATGCAAGGATTATAGGGCCAGCCTACCTGGGTTCAAATCCCAGCTTTGCCAAACACCAACGGTGAGACCCTGACAAGGTGCCAAAAATGAGCTAAGTGTCTGAAAAATGATGGATGACAACAGCACTGGCTTCAAATGGCTGCCGTTTAATACGAGTTGATTTTTACAATTGTGTTGGGCATATGGTAAATTATCAATAAACGGAAGCTAATATTATAAAATTTTCATGTCATCACGCACAGTATGTCCAGACGGTAGCTACTATTTAGAACGACTCAAATCCAGCTCTTCCCTGCCGATCCAGTAGCTCAAGTCAATGCAGAGTCAACTGTGACCCTGTCTCTCCTTTTTTCCTCACTCCTCACATTCAGATGGGTCTCCAGGAGCCAGGTCCCTCCAGACTTCCATGATCCTACCTCTCAAATATCTTACACTTGTCCACCTCTCTCTGTTCCCACTGTCCTAGTCTGGGTCAGTGGTTGCTGTCACGCTGGGGCCGGTGACCTCTCCCAGCTTCTCTTCTTACTTTCTTCAGTCCGTCCTTCACGCGGCTCTAACAGCTTTCCAAAGCGTAGATCAGATTAAAGCATAGCTCTATGTGACAGCTTTCCTTGGCTTTATTACATACTGTAAAATAAAGTCCACTTTTCCTTCGTCGTCTTCTTTTTTTTTTTTTTTTTTTAAGTAGGCTCCACACCCAGCCTTAAGCCCAACACAGGGCGTGAGCTCACAACTCTGAGATCGAGAGTTGGACGCTTAACCGACTGAGCCACCCAGGCGCCCCGAAAGTCCCCTTTTTGAGCCTGGACTTTTAAGGCTCCTTACTACCTCGTCCCAGCATACTCTTCCTCCTTCCTCCCCTCGTCTACACCCGAGTCACACCTTGCGACTGGCTCTCCTGTGGACTCTCTTTGTTTCTCTGCCTGTAATGTTACTCTTTGGTTTCCTGCCCATCCAACTTCTAATTACCTTTCAAGACTTAAGCTAAATGTAAGTCAAAAGTCGGTGCCTGGGAGTCAGTGAGTTGAAGAAAGTAGGCTAATATAGCTGAGAATGATTTTTAAAAATGTATAAAATAGGTGCCTTGAATTTTTTTTTCTTTGGTAAACCAGAAAACCTAGTTGACTCATTTTTATGACTCATTTTATGTTTGTGTTTGATCCATGTCAGGCACTTCGTGTAATTTTTTTTTTTTTTTTCATTTAATCTTCCTAACGACCCTATTGGTTTGACATTATCACATCCACTTTGGAGATGAAGAAACCTGGGTTAGGGGATTTGTCCAAGGGCAGCAAGATAGTAAATGACAGAGCTGAGATCTGAACACCGGTCTGACTCCAAAGCCCAGGGCTGCAGCACAGGTCACCAAACGCTGTGCTTCGCGACCTCACGTCGTGTGTATTTGCCTGACATGTTTAAAATGTAATGTTGGCCCTGATCTGACTTCGGTGTAGACGCATTACCACCCTGAGTTATGCAGTGCCTAATGCCAGTTCCTGGTGAGATAGCTTTCAGTATACCAAGTGGGGTGGCATGAAACGCAATTATGCTTTTTTGACGAGGAAGCTGTGCAGTCCAGGGGTTCCAGCTGAGGTCAGCCTCTCGTTCATTCATTATGCACCACGAGCAAGCACCTACTGACTTCCCACCACATGTATGACACTATGTTAAACTTATTTCCTTGTCTTTCTCCAAGAACTTCTTTATTCAATCTCAGGAAAGCCGTCTGGCAAATCTGAGTGCTTCCGAACCACAGGCTGATAATTTCTGCTTTAGAATAAGTGAACTGATGGCTTTCAGTGGCACTTTCTCTCCAGAGAAATCAGGCCCTGTGTTTGAGCTGGGCCTTTTTTAGTTACTCAAGAATAGGTCTGCTAATGCCTATGAAACACAACATACACACGCAATTCAATAATTCCAACTTTTAAAAGTTATTAAAATAAATATCCTGTCTGGATGGCTAACATTTTCCTGGCACTAAGTGGTAACTATGAACACAGGAAAGGCTCATCGGTGATCGAGAGTGGTCACCCATAACCGTTAGTGTTACGGAGTGAACTATGTCCCCTACCAGAATCCAAATGTTGGAGTCCTAACCCCCAGCACTTTAGTATGTGACTGCATTTACACAGAAACTTCATGGAATTAATTACGTTAAAACTAGGTCATTAAAGTGGGCCCTAATCCAGTTTCATCGGTGTCCTTATAAGAAGAGATTAGGACATGAAAGGGAGAGAGAGAGAGAGAGACACCAGAAATGTGCACATACAGAGGCAAGCCCACGTGACTGTGCATGGAGAGGGCGGCCGTGTGCAAGCCAAGGAGAGAGGTCTCAGAAAAAAACGAAACCTGCCCACACCTTGACCATGGACTTCTAACCTTGAGGACTGTAAGAAAATAAATTTCCGTTGTTTCTGTGGTATTCTGTTAAGGCGGCTCCAGTAAACTGAATCAAAGAACGAAATCACAGGGGCGCCTGGGTGGCTCAGTCTGTTAAGCGTCTGACTTCAGCACAGGTCATGATCTCACAGCCTGTGGGTTCGAACCCCGCATCGGGCTCCGTGCTGACAGCTCAGAGCCTGGAGCCTGCTTCGGATTCTGTGTCTCCCTCTCTCTGCCCCTCCCTGCTCACACTCTGTCTCTCCCTCTCTCAAAAAATAAACATTAAAAAAAAAAAAAAAAAAAAAAAGAACGAAATCACACACAGTGTGAAGAATAACCTGCAAATCCCACCGGCATCTAAATTGATGCTTTAGGGCTGCTTTGTCCAACTGATAGTTTTTAAGCTTCTCCTATATATTAGGCCCCCAGCTCGATGTTAGGAGACTCTACGGATAAGGCTTCAAATTAGCAATGGGAAACGCAAGAGGCTGATACATTCCCCTGCTCTGAAAACGTGTCCTTGGAAGACACCAGTCACCATGAACTTGTGAGAGAAATCGCAGCTTCATTTCCCCGGTAGCCTATATAATTCAAGACATGAAGGTCACCTTCTCCCATACAAACATCTTCCAGCAAATAAAATGATCTTACCCAGTCCTTCCAGTTCTTGAACCACTTCTTTCCAAACGGGCTCGATGTGGATGCAGCTGAAGCACCAATCTGAGGTGATCTTAATGAGGTAGGGTTTCTTGAAGCTATCTGGAACCACTTCGTTCACATAATGTGAAAAGTGCAATAAATACTTTTCATCAATGGAGTCCCGCCGCTCCGAATTAAAAGGGAAGTGAAAAAAAGACTCATCAAAGTAAAAATTCTCATGGAAATGGCGGAAGCGATACTCTCGTTGTTGTTGCTTCTGGTAGCCCTGGTTCTCTCCGGCATCTCCGTAGTGATCGTAATTCGATCTCTTTTCTTCGTTGGAAAGGATCTGTGAGGAAAGAAAAAAAAAATAAGACATTTAAGAAGTAGGGAAAGTTTCACCCAGAGGATTTTCCTGTGAGCGGCATGGAAGACACAGGAAGAAAATGAATGTAGAGCCACGACATGGTTAGATATTCTCAACGTAATCTGCAACATACCAGGAGACTCTACTTTCTTTCTTTCTTTTCTCTTTCTTTCTTTCTTTTTCTTTCCCAATTTTTCTAAGATATTATTTTATATGTTATTTATTTATTTATTTACTTACTTATTACATGAAATTTATTGTCAAACTGGTTTGCATACAACACCCAGTGCTCATCCCAACAGGTGCCCTCCTCCATGCCCATCACTGCCCCCCCCAGCCCCCATCAACTGTTTATTCTGTTTTTAAGAGTCTCTTATGGTTTGACTCTCTCCCTCCCTCCCTCCCTTTTTTTTCCCCTTCCCTTCCCCCATGGACTTCTGTTAAGTTTCTCAGGATCCACATAAGAGTGAAAACATATGGTCTCCGTCTTTCTCTGTAGGACTTATTTCACTTAGCGTAACACTCTCCAGTTCCAGCCACATTGCTACAAAAGGCCAGGTTTCATTCTTTCTCATTGCCAAGTAGTATTCCATTGTGTATACAAACCACAATTTCTTTATCCATTTGTCAGTTGATGGACATTTAGGCTCTTTCCAGAATTTGGCTATTGTTGAAAGTGCTGCTATAAATATTGGGGTACAAGTGCCCCTATGCATCAGCACTCCTGTATCCCTTGAGTAAATTCCTAGCAGTGCTATTGCTGGGTCATAGGGTAGATCTATAGGAGACTCTACTTTCAACAGAAACATTAAATATGTCAAGACTGAAATACTTCGGTCATTTAGATACTTATGTTCGTCCTGCCTTCAGAGATTTGGGGTTATCACAGTACTCAATACATCAGTAAAGCAAATAAAACGTAACATACTGTTGATCACCAGGGCTGGATGACAAGAAAATTGACTAGGTTATGCCACTTAAGTTGGAATAACTCAAAGCAAGATATGAAAAGCTGCAAACACCAAAAAGCAGCCACAGGGTTGAGTTCAGTGTCCCGGACGTTAGCTGACTTTGTTTTACTTAATTCTGAAGTCTAAAATTCAAGAGGCTGTTTTCAGATGATGTGCCATTCTATGAGCCAAGCACTGTTTCCTGAAGAGCATTACCCTATACAAACCATAAAGCCATGGACTTATCTTTAATGCACATTCCAGAACAAGTTACTTAAGTGGACATGTTGGAAAATTATTGAAAAAAGTCTGTTTAAATGCATTTGTAACCTTGTGTCACTTTAATAAATTGGGAAGTCAATCTTTCTTTAACAGAAGTTCTAGTATGTGTGCTGTCAAAGTGACCATGTAATAGAAGTTTCTACAAAGGAAAGAGAGACCTACAGTTAGGAATTCTGAGAACTCTACAATTCCAATTAAAGCCTTTAAAATAAGCCAGTTTTTTGTTTTTGTTTTTGTTTTTTTTTAAGAGCTGAAGTATTCAGGCACCAATTTCAACATATTGGATTAACTAAATAAGTTTTCTCTACCATCATCTAGAAACTGGGTCAAGGGCGTTGGGACTGTGCCCCTTCTGAGAGGTCTTTACAAAACTGGCCGCCTAAAGCAGATTTTATACGAGCTAATGGATGCATCACAAGTTTGACAGGATACCTCATAAGCCTTGCTAATTTGGATGAACTTGTCTTCTGCTCCAGGATCTTTGTTTTTGTCAGGATGCCTGAAAACACAAATGGGCAGGCAGTGAGAACGCATTTAATGTTTTACACACAGTCAATTAACATCTTGTACACACGGTTCACTACCTCAGATGGAAGGCCATTTTGTTAGGACGGTTTCTTAAAAATTCACAGGAGAAGCAATCACTTGCTTCGCATGACCGTAATAATTAAGTGAAACTTTGAAACAGGCAGTTTCTACCAAAAGCACTCCAGTGGGGCACATTTTCAAAACACCGGGGAGCACTAGAACAAACGTTCCAGTGAGGAGAGGAGGGCTATGCACATGCCTTTACGTTGTTCCTAATACTGCTGAGCTGGGAGCTGGCTCCAGGCTAATGTCACTGAGGCCTCAGAACCGACTTCCCTTCCCAAGATGGCGGCAATTCCTCCCCATGTTAGAATGTCATCGAGGAAGGTATTTCTTCGGACAACTCGGGAGGATACAGGAAACAGCTTCTAGGACACACTGTGAATTTGTTTCGTAACAACCACATTCCAAGTGGCATTTTGCTGCTGACGTTTAAGAGAGAACATTTTAGTTTCGTTAATGTTCTGCTTGTTCCTTTTTGCCTAAGATGGCCTTTCACCCGTAAACGGATCATGGTTTCAAGGCCCCGTGTTTTAAGGGGTGAGAAAAATCTACAGTTTACGCAAAGTGATTTAAACTAATATTAGAACTAACATTTGCTATTACACACAGCTTGCAGTTAACTGTATCCATTTGCGGTCATTCAGTATTCTATCATCTGCCTGTGTTCATGCCAATTTCAGCTTTGGGGATTTAAAGTCCTGGCAAGTAGGGGCTGGGTTCCACTTCCTTAGAGCTCCCGAAGTCCTAAGTCACTGTTTGCTACCAACTGATTTTTCAATGTTCTCTTTATTAAGAGGCCCTATTACACAGCGTATTTTTTATATAATCACTTCTGCTAACTTCCAGTAAGTTTCCTCTAGCAAAGGTTCAGGAAAGAGAAGCATTCCTTCTTCTGGAAGCAAACGACTGCTAAAAACGGCACCAAGTACACTGGAATAAAGAAATTTCACAACTTGGTCAACTTATTCTGGCCGGGACAAGTTTGAATGAATTATACCACATATCCTGATGTCTCTAAAAATAAATTGCAAATGGCTGTCCATTAAATTTAGACATTATTCCTTGCTTTACTATTTAATTCTTGGTGTGAATATCAGCGGGAAAGGGGAATCTCAGCTGGGTTATCATGAAAATAGTATGACTCAAAGAAACAAGATGGTGGTTCCAAAACGTGCTTCTGGATGACCAAAAAAACCCAAAAAACAAAAACCAAAAAACCCCCCAGTGTTTTAAATACTCAAACTTAGGCTAAAGGCTGAAAAGATAAAATAAAGCACTCACACAAATGAAGATTTAACGTACAGAACTCGGTAGGGCGGTGTGGAAGGAGAGGAAGGGGCTTTTGAGGAGACTGAGCCAAGGCGAGGGCTGTGAGGGCAGCTGGGCCAAAACCACAGATCCTGACGAAGACAAAACCAAGGCCCGGGAACAGGGAGGAAGCCACAAGACAGTTTCAGGTCATGAGAACTATCTTCCTAACTGAGGGGTGCTGCCACGAGGTTGCAAACATTCAGAAAAGGAGAAATCCAGCTCTAGGAAAGCACTGCCCAATACTATTTTCAGTGTATAGGAAACGTTTCACCCACTGCAGTTATGATACTCGTCCTTTAAATCTGGAAGTGAAGAAAAATACTGCACTTGCTATCTACTGACTGTGGAGTCACCTCTAAGGAAATAAAAATGAAGGGAGAAAAAGTAATATACAGAAGTGTTAGGCAAATCGTTTTACTGTTCCAGTGACTGACCCTGTTATATCTATTTGCTTAGGATCAAATTTTACGATGCCTTTTTCTTGGGGTGGGGTTGTTTACATTGCCAATGAAGATGATAAAAGAAAAGTACGTACGTTAAAACCTAACTATTAGGAGAGAAACACAGTTTTCCTGAGAGACAGAGTAACTTTAAATGGTTTCACCGAGGAAGGGGAAAGCTCTTGAGAAGCCGAAGAGACATTATTTAGTAGTAAAACCTAGTAGAGGAAACCTACAAATCCAGGTCAACCACTAACCGCTCCCCCCGCTACTGCTCTGAAAAGTCAAACTGGGAAGCACTGTCCTTTTCAGCGTGTATGAAGCCATCATGAAATGAAACAAGTGATTTCAGTGATAAAACCCTGCCACAGCCCAAACGGCAAAAAGTAACAGCACGGTGAGCACGCAAAGGTGGAGTAAAATTTTAGACTTTCGCTGGATGATATTCTGTATATTTCTACGGTGATGAATTACTCCTAGAGAGAGTCTAATTAAGGAAGAGGAGCGTATGACTCATTTAATTAATATCATAACACCCTTTTCAGCTCTGGAAGACAGAAACGTCAAAGCTGTCCATTTTAACAAATCCCACATACTCAAGCGATCATTTCTGCTTTTCAAATGTGGCCGAAGGCCATACTCTGTCCAAAAGAATGTTGCTACTTCATGAATTTGCTGCAGACTTATAAATTTTGCTTTAAATATAAAGAGGCAAGAGTTTGAAATGATGTGGAAGGCAACTTTGCTGTAAAGAGAGTCCCTGGAAAGAGGCCACACATAATTAGATTGTGTTTTCAGTATCTAATTCTGGACTCCCTGTGATAGGAGTTTGGTTTAAAATATGTATTCAAAACGTCATATTTGAAACTATCTTTTACCTTGATTGCAACCAGCTTAAAACGGAGGCCTTTCACTGAAGAATAACGGTGTCAGGCAGAGTCATGCACGGCCTGCAATGTCATCTGCATGTGGCAGCTTTGCTCCTGCAGAACTTCCTGCCCCGCCCCCCCCAAACCTAACCCACTCATTCTTCTGCTCACGTGGGCAAGTGATTACAAAGTAAAAAAAAGCAATAAACTATCTATTAGCAGAGAAGGTCAAGCTACGGAGCCCAGGGGCAATAAAGACTTATTAACAGTGAGCCTAGATTTCCCCACAGGTAAAAGGGGGACAGCAATATCCTCCCTCATAGGGTAATGATCAGGTTTATGTAAGATAAAAAGCATAGAACCTGGAACCTAGCATGCAGTAGCTTAGTTGGAGCCTCGTAAGAGCCTAGCATGTGCAGTCATGATTCCCATTCCCAAACGGTCTTTTATTATTTACGACTGGCTCTGCCAGCTTCCAGTCACCTGTGCCCTTCCTGTCCTTTCCCTCCTGCTGTGCCCCTCCAGCTACATAATCCAAATACCTCTACTTCTTTGGCGTGTCCAAAGTGTTGGTGGAAAAAACTGATGATGCCCGCCTGTAAATTTTAAATCCATTGCTGTCCTGCTAATTCACAAACACTGGTATACTCTTTAGCATATAGAAAACCTACCTAGGTAGAATTACGACTTTTCTACAATTTTTTTTTTTAACGTTTATTCATTTTTTTGAGAGACCGAGAGTGAGTGGGGGAGGGGCAGGGGCAGAGAGAGAGGGAGACACAGAATACGAAGGAGGCTCCAGGCTCTGAGCTGTCAGCACAGAGCCCGACACGGGGCTCGGACCCACGGACCGTGAGGTCATGACCTGAGCTGAAGTCGGACGCTTAACCCACTGAGCCACTCAGGCGCCCCGAATTATGACTTTTCTGTAGAGTAATTCTTAACAGCCATGTACTCGGTTCCTGAATATTCTTATAAAATTGAGAGCAAAAAAGCTCTTACTCTAAATTTTCTTGAAAGCTTAGAATTAATAATGTAGAAAATAGGATTGGAGAGTCTTCCTTTTAGCATAAAGGGTTACTTTATGAGTAACATCATGGGGTGGTTAGCTTATTCATTGCTGATGACATATATACTTTAAAACTAAAGCTCCCTCCCACTTTAACATTAAATATGCTGGCAGTATCTAGGGTAAGTCTTCAGGCCAAAAGCATTCACAGCAATACAGGCTTTGGATCTCATCACTAAAAAAAAATTAAAAAAAAATTATAGAATAACATGAACATTAGTTCTCCCAAATGAAATATTTTAGACAGATATAGATTTACTGAACATAGACACAGAGACAAATAAAAGCTAACCATAATTTAGGCTGCATTCCCCTACTGCAACTGCTTAGCTTATATTAAACTGCTATTTCTTTGTTTCACCTACCATTCCCGGGCGAGCTTCTTATAAGCCTTTTTAATATCAGCCTGACTGGCTGTGCGGCTGACCCCTAGGACTCTGTATGGGTCAAAATCCAACGCAGACAGAATTTGCAGGACCAGAACCAGAACTATCAAGAACTGCCAGGAAATGCTCAATTTTTTCACTTCCATTTCTCTTCCTTTCCAGAGCTGAAATGATTGAAGAGGCAATAAGTTGCAGCGGTAGAAACCTGGACAGTCTCGCTTTTGCGGTAAAGGGCTAAGATAGACAGATGCAAAACAAAACAAACAAAAGCTGTTTGGCAGGAAAGGTGTCGAGCTGTTTGACCATGTCTTTTGAAATCGACAATCTCACTACTGTTTTTGAATATCACACGTAAGAACTATTCTAGGTGAAAAGGTGAGCGGTAAGACTTCACAGCAACTTGCGAGAATCCTTGCATTAGGTTGGCTCTAGAAATGACTGAAAAATCGATGAGATGGAGAAATAAAAGCAAATGTGGGAAAACATTCGTAGGAAAATCAAGGCAACTACATCTCAAACACACTAGTTCACTTATGCTGACAATAACACTTTAAATTTAAAAATACGTGGCTTCAGAATACTTCACTGAGTACATGCTAAATAAATTCAAGAGATCAGAAGAATTACCAAGTGCGAAACTGTGAAATGACACAGTTGTGACATTCTTGGGGTTAAATAAGTACCAACAGGGAAGTGAGATACTCTAACAAAATAAAAAACTTGTTATGACGCTGCGTACCCCAATTCTAGTCTTTATCACCACACCCAGTGAAGCAAGAAAACAGAGAGGATGCTCTTTAATTTAACCATCAGCAATATGGTTATTGTAAATGGAGACCTAAGAGGAGAAAAACTGGTGAGAAAAAAATTTAGTTTTCCACGTGAAGGGAGATTAATGGCAAAGCCTGTAGACCAGGCATCTTCAAATGTTAAAGATCCATATCTGGTCAGGGTGGTAGCTGAACTCACTGTGGGCTGGGAAATAATCCTGGTTGGTTAATGAACAAGGTAGTGCTGTATTGCACGGGCATTTACGGTCAAGAATTATGAACTCTATGATATCATACAGTGAGTTTTCACGGGTCATATTTATCCTGACTTTACATGAATTACTAACATTTTAAGGTTCAAGTGTCTAAGGTGACACCTTACTTAAGGTGGGCAAATCTGTAACAGTGGTGGATTCTGACAAGTGGAAGTCTAAACACTGGGAGCGATCACAAAATTGACTTGACACGATGGCCAATTTTTAGGACTGCATGCATGCTGAGCCAAGTCCGAAAACACATTCATTTCTTCCTTGTGGAGTCAACCTATAACCTATAAAACATGTACAGAGCGCTAAAACTCGGGAAGAGGAGACAGCTACTGGTTAGGCACACAAGCTCTGGAAACAGACTCACATCGGGATCCGTCCTCTACCACTTTATGACCTTGGGCAAGTTACTGAAACTTGCTAAGCCTCAGTACCATTCATAAATGGAGGGTGAATAATAACCACCTTGAAAAGATCAGCAAGGGAGTTAAATGTATGTAAAGATGTACTGAACACCGGGTCGACAGTCAGAAAGGGGTACTTATTTTTTTCTACCGCGCAGGGCAATCGCTGCCTTATTCCACCGTGTCAGTCGCCTCCAGTGAGGGGCCCAAGAGGCGGGGGGGCTGTTAAGTTCTTTGGCTGACAGTCTCGAGCTCGACTGTGCCGGCGTCGGGGCAGGAAATCACCTGCCCAACAGGTAGGCTACCGCCCGCGGGCAGTATCCCCCAGACCAGGCAGCGGCTCCAGGAGGCACGCTCCAGGTCTGAGCTCCCGCCGGAGGTCGCAACCCTCCAGGAGACGACCGCCTCCCCCGCCGCCCACCGAGAGCCCTGGGCCCGGCCCTGTCGGCTCCCGGTTTCCCCCGGGCCCTGGGGAACCGGGAACGAGGAGGAACTGACGGGAAATCCCCGAGCCTGCCCGGCCCCGCCGCGTCCGCGGCTCCGCGCGTCACGCCGGGAAGGAGTTACCGGGAAAGGGCACCGGCCCAACCGGCTGCAGCGTCCGTGCTCCAGTCAGTCCGCCGGGCCAGGAGCCTCCCGTCCGCACCAGCGCTCGCCGGGACCTGGGGAGGGGAGAGGGGCGGGGACGAGTGGATGGGGGTCACGTGACACTTAAAGGCTCGGCGCCCGGAAGTCACGGACTGAACTGGTCGAGGGCTTCTACTTTGCGAATCCGTTTTGACCCTTGCTACCCGCCGTCTGCGCGTGGACCTGGCGCGGTTGCCATAGGAACGCGGCCCGCTCTTTGGCTGGATCCAAAGGGATGACCGTGACCAAAGAGGACAAAACGTGCCTCCTAGCGAGGCGAAGTCGCGATGCATGATGGGATGCCCCCAAGACCTCCCCGATCCAGGGAGGTGTTTCAACACTTACCGGGAGATGGCCCTCGTCTGGCAACAGTTGCTAGGGTGGGGAAGCAATCGCTGGTCCCTGTTCTCTTTAACCCTATTCATAGAATCGTAGAGCGTCAGAGTTGGAAGGGACCTTAGGGACCCTTTCTAGTCCAACTCCTCCATAAACTGATGGGGAGACTGAGGCCCAGAGAGGGGCAGGGACTTGCCCAAGGCCTAGAATCCAGGACCCCTAAACTTATTTACCAAAGCGAGATCTGCCATAGAATGTGCCAGGGACTGCCCTCGGCTCGGGGAAACGGATGTGTGTGTGGTGGGGAGGGAGGGGGAGACACAGATGAATGAGGTAAACTTTCATTGAGCCAATGAGATACGTATCCTTGGGGATATAAAGAAAGAGGTTTCTTATCCCCCCACCGCCCTGTTTTTTTATTGAATTTTCTTTTCATTTATCATTGACACACTGTATCTTTTCTTTCTTTATATTTTTCATCGTCTGTCTCCTCCCACTGGAATGTAAGCTTCTAAGGGCAGGGCTTTCTGATTTGTTCAACTGTATATTCTCGATGCCTGTGTGGACCTCAGCGCAGGCAGGATCTCAATAAATATTTGTGGAATAAGTGAATAAATGGGGCTGAGGTTTTGATGCTCAGGAGAATGGATTCTAAGGTAGACGTGAGTCAGGTTCAGCTTTAAATCTTGAACGGCCTTGTGCCACTTACTACTCTGTGACCTTGAACAGACACCACTTCCTCCAGCTCCAGCGTCCCCCATCTGTAAAATGGGGGAAAAGAATAGTTTTTGGTATTCCTTTGATAGGACTGTAGTCAAGGATAAGTGAGATAACACAATGTAAAGTGACTAGCACAATGGCTGGGACTTAGCAAATGTTTAGCAAACAGGAGCAATTATTTCTGAAAGGTGGAAGTGAGCTGTACAAACTGGGAGTTCAGAAGAGTAGATTTCTGCCTTTTTTTTTCTTTGTGGGAGGTGCTAGGGTGGGAAGGAAGGAAGAAGGGGATTCAAGACCGTGTAATGTGGGCTTGGTTGGATGAGACAGGCGAGTTTGGAACAGTAAACGACGAGATCTGGGCACCGGGCGGGGGCAGGAGAATTATGGTTTTATTACCGGCGGGAAGGGGGCTAGAGGACACTGAGGCGGGGGGGGGGGGGGTTGAATGGGGCTGGACAGACCATCGCCCCAGGCATGGGTGTCCCTCTTGCCAGCAATATAACCCCCTCCGAGCTTTTTTTTTTTTAAGTTTAGATTTATTTATTTATTTATTTATTTATTTAAGAGAGAGAGAGAGAGAGAGAGAGAGAGAGAGATTAAGCGAGCAGCTAGTGGAGCAGGGGCAGAGAGAGGGAGACAGGGTCGCATGCAGGCTCTGCGCTGACAGCAGAGAGCCCCATGCGGGGCTCCAACCGTGAGATCACGACCTGAGCCAAATTCAGACGCTTAACCACATTTAACCGACTGAACTACCCAGGGGCCGCCCCCGCCCCCTACCCCTGAACCCCCACCCTCCGAGTTTCTGTAAAAGCGGAAAGAGGATACCTTTTGGTTAGGGCTGGCTGCCTGGACTAGGGGCGCGCCCTGGGGGCGGTGCCCGTTGCGGGGTGTGTCTTGGGGGGCGGTGCGGGGCGCGGAGGCGGAGTCGCAAGGCGGAAGTGGTGCCGTGGGTGGCCTGGGGCGGGCCCGGGGGGCGAGGGGCGATGCAGGGGCGGAGCGCGTCGCGGCGGCCGGTGCCGGGGCGGGTCCTGGGCGGCGGGCGGGGCGCCGCGGCCGAGGCCCGGAAGCGGACCGAGGCCGCCCGGGTCCCAGCCGTCGGGCCGCCATGGACGAGGCTGACCGGCAGCTCCTGCGGCGGTGCCGTGTGCGGCTGGTCGGCGAGCTGCAGGTGGCCTCGCTCTGGGACGCTCTGCTGACCCGCCAGCTCTTCACGCCCGCGATGATCGAGGACATCCAGGTGCGCCCCGCTTCCAGCGCCGCCCGCAGACTTCACGTCCCGGCTGGGGTCAGCGAGGCCGCGCCGAGAGGGTTGCTGAAGGCACAGCATGTCTTAAAGGCCGAGCTCCCGCCTTCCCCTCCCCGCCTGTGCCCCCGGTACCCATCCCCTTTGGGGAATCATCATGTGGGAACCCCCTTTTCCCTCACGGCGTTGAGCGCACTAGATCGCCCAGCCGAACCGTGCAATACCGAACGCCTCTTCCAGGGCTTGCTAGAGCGATTCCACGCCCAGCACCACCAGCGTGCACCGTTGGCTGCTGGAGCCCTGTGCTTCTGGCCGGGATGGAGGCCTGTGTTTCACCTGCTGGCATGAAGGTTCAGGGCGCCCAGCTGGGGTGTCACACTGCCTGGTTCTGTGTCCCTGGCTAAGTCATTGATCCATTGTGAGCCTCAGTTTTCTGGGCTGTGAAATGGGACAACAGTAGTATTGTGAGAGCTACATGAGATAGTGGGTGTGGAACACAATTGCGTCAGGCTCAGAGTGAGGGCTTAGCTGGCTGTGCCCTGTCCTCTCTGGCCAGCCCCTCCTGTGCTGAGTTTATGTTTCCTAAGGGGTTTTAGAGATGGGGGGGGGTGCCGATGCAGGTAATGAAGAAAATAATAAAGTGAACATGTGAGGTTCTCTTTAAAAGAAGTTTCATGTCTTTGTGTTATTTGACCCTCGCCACAGGCCTGTGAGGTAAGGAGGTTCCAGGAGGTATTTCCTACCAGGAGGGGCAGTGGGTGTGTGCGGCTTTCTGGGGGCCTCTGGCCAGTGCCCGGTGGGCTGCTTGCAGACTGTCCATTTTCTGCATCATCCAGGAGCTTGGCCTGACCCAGTGAGGAAGTCTTTAATAGGATAAGTGTCGTATGAAAAATTAGCAGTGAATATTAGTATTAGAAGAAGTCTCATGAGAATCTGCTGTGTGACCTGAACTGAAGAGTGGAAATGGTTTGAGACCATTTCCTTGCCTTCAGATACATTCACAGGGGTTGCAAATTCAGATGCCCACAGAGGCCCAATAGGTGGGCACCGCGGTGGGTGGCCCCCCAGCTCCAGCTCAGTCCATGTTTCCAGATCTCTCACGTTACGTAAAAAGAAGTTGAAAGTCCTGATTTTGATGTCAAATTCCCTGATTCTAGATGTTAGCAACAGATTCAGGTTTTCGAAGTACTGTCACGTGAACGAGAGGCTGCCATTTGCCACCCCTGGTTTGGCTGAGCCGCATGGATCTGGGTCCTCATCCTGGCTTTGGTACATATTAGTAAGTCGCAATGCCTTGCTGAGACTCAGTTTCCCTCATCTGTAAAGTGAGGAGAATTGTAATTTAACCCCGTAAGGTTACTGAGGGGGGGACTAGATGAAATGATGCATTTAACACGGGGTCTGTCTTACTGTGAGTGTTCCGGAAATGCTGAAAGGCATGTAGCTGTTTTGTTAGTGAGGGTTATCTTTGCAGTAACATTACAGATCTGTGGCGTTCAACTTAGCAGCCATTAGCCACACGAGGCTATTTAAATGTAAGTCTGAAGTAATTAATGTTAAATAAAATAGAACACTTACAGGGCACCTGGGTGGCTAAGTCAGTTAGGCATCCATCTCCGGCTCAGGTCATGAGCTCGCAGTTCGTGAGTTCGAGCCCCGCTTCGGGCTCTGTGCTGACAACTTGGAGCCTGCTTCAGATTCTGTGTCGCCCTCTCTCTCTCTCTCTGCCCCTCCCCCACTCACATTCTGTCTCTCTCTCTCAAAAATAAATATTAAAAAACATTAAAAACAATAGCAAATTCAGTTTCCCAGCCGTAGGACCCAAGTACTCAGGAGCCACATGGGACTCATGCGTTTGGACAGAGCAGATGAAGGACATTTCTATCATCACAGGAAGTTCCCTTGGACAGTGCTGCTGTAGGATATTTGAGGAGAGGGTGATGTCTTACCCCTGTGAGGAACTTGGCCAGAGTGGGTCTCAAAGGACAGCGAGCTGATGAATAGCTTCTTCCTCCTTTTCCCTGTGTTGGCGACCAGCCCCACCATCCCGACACCCGTAAACCTCGACCTTTTCTGCATCGTCACAGTCCACCCAATTGATGCCCAAATCCCATGCATTCTCCTTCCTTATTAAAAAAAGTTTTTTTAATGTTTATTTATTTCTGAGAGAGAGAGAGAATGGGGGAGGGGCAGAGAGCGAGGGAGACACAGAATCCGAAGCAGGCTTCAGGCTCCGAGCTGTCAGCACAGAGCCCGACACGGGGCTCGAACCCACAGAGCGCGAGATCACAACCTGAGCTGAAGTCGGACGCTCAACCGACTGAGCCACCCAGGCGCCCCTCTCCTTCCGTATTTTTCTGGTCTGTCCATTTATTTCTCTCCATTCCTGCTGCACTGTCTTTGCCACCACCCGACCTGGCTGTGGCTCACCCCCTTCCACTGTCTACCCTGCCTCCAGGATGATTTTTCTCAGAGGCAGCTCTGACTCTGTCACTCGTAAAGGTCCTCAGCGGCTTCTCCCGGCTGTTTCGGCACACCGCTCAGAGACCTCCCCCTCGCTGCTGTTTCCCACTCCAGCTTACGTTTCATTTCTCTGAATTCGCGATTCACTTCCTAATGTTCCCTGGGGTCTCCGTGAAGACATCCCCTCCTGGAGGACTCCCTGGCTTCCCAAGGCTAAGTTGGATGGCCCTGGACCCTCCTGCTGGCACTTCTCTCCTTGGTGTGCCACTGTTGATTTGTCTGTTTGCATTCTGTGCCCAGATGCCTGCTTCTTGAGGACTGAGAATGTTCGCTGCTGTATTTTCATCACTTAGCACAGTGCTGGGCTCATGGGAGATGCCTCCAAAATGCTGAATGAATAGATAAGCAAAGGGTTTTTGCCCTCGTGCCTGACTGGTCAGACTTATACCAGATGGGAAGTGTTGGGGCGGGGGGTGGGGGGGCGGACATGGTGAGAGTCCCAGGAAATCATGTGGCTAATAGTGCCGTGTCTTTTTTTCCAAACAGCATGCGGGCTCAGGGTCTCGGAGCGATCAGGTCAGGCAGCTTGTCATAGATCTAGAGACCCGAGGGAGTCAGGCCCTTCCTTTGTTCATCTCCTGCTTAGAGGACACAGGCCAGGATGCACTGGCTTCATTGCTGAGAATGGGTCGGCAAGCAGAAAAGCAGAATCCACAGGCCGTCAGACCCCTGGACCTCATGCCTGTGGTGGTTGGACCAATGGGCCTCAAACCAGAGGAGCTCAGAAGGAGGCAGTATCCTTTAAAGCCGACTCCGGAAAAACTCACTCCAGTGGTGTTGGGGCCCGAGGAGCTGTGGCCAGCCAAGCTCCGGCCAGAGGTTCTCAGACCAGAGGTGCCTAGGCCAGTGGACATTGGTTCTGGACCATTCAGTGATATCTGTGAGTACCAAGACAACGGTCGGTATGCAGTTGTAACTATGAGGTTAATGAACTCGTATATCCAGTTCTCTCCCCAGGTGTGGGAAGTTCTCAGCCATTACTTTTTTTTTTTAACTAAAAAGAAATTGTTTTTGATGTTTATTGGCTTTTGAGGAAGAGAGAGAGATGGGGTGTGAGTGGAGGAGGGGCAGAGAGAGAGAGGGAGACACAGAATCCAAAGCAGGCTCCAGGCTCTGAGCTGTCAGCGCAGAGACCGACGTGGGGCTTGAAGTCATGAACTGTGAGATCATGACCTGAGCTGAAGTCGGACGCTTAACCTTAACCAACTGAGCCACCCAGGAGCCCCTCAGCCCTTATTTTTTTAAATAAGCCTGCTACCCCTTTCTCCCTCTCTTCCTTCTTCTGGGACTACAATAAAGCATAGATTGTTTCTTTTCATGATAACCCATCATTCGTGTAGGCTTTCTTCACTCTTTTTTGTTCTTTTCTCTTTGCTCTCTGAGTGGGTAATTTCAAATGAGTTGTCTTCTACTTCACAGATTCTTTCTTGTGCATGATCGAATCTGATGTTGATGCTGTCTGTTGCATTCCTTTCAATTCATTCAGTGCATCCTTCAGCTCCCGTATTTCTATTTGGTTCTTTTTGTGTGGTTTCTATCTTTTAAACTTCTTGTTTTGGTCATGTATTGTTTTCCCGATTTTGTTACATTGGCTTTCTGTGTACTCTTGTAGTTTACTGAGCTTCCTTGAAACAGTGATTTTGAATTGTCAGGCACATTGCAGATTACTATTTCTTTGGGGTCAGTTACTGGGAAATTACTGTGCTCCTTTGGTGGGGTCCTATTTCCTTGATTTCTCATGTTTCTGGAAGTCATGTGTTGGCTTTGCATTTGAAGGAGGACTCAACTGGGGCGCCTGGGTGGCGCAGTCGGTTAAGCGTCCGACTTCAGCCAGGTCACTATCTCGCGGTCCGTGAGTTCGAGCCCCGCGTCGGTCTCTGGGCTGATGGCTCAGAGCCTGGAGCCTGTTTCCGATTCTGTGTCTCCCTCTCTCTCTGCCCCTCCCCCGTTCATGCTCTGTCTCTCTCTGTCCCAAAAATAAATAAACGTTGAAAAAAAAAAAATTTGAAGGAGGACTCAACTCCTCCAGTACTTGCTGACTAACGTCTTCAGTGTGTCCGATCTCGGATTTTTTTTTGCACCAGCAGTGTTTTGGAACTTCTCTGCTGGATTCCCAGAGTTCGACAAAGGTGGTCTCAATTATGGATGATGTCAAAATTGGTGTTCTTTGTTGGGGAAGGCAGTAGAAAACTCTTATTCTGCCATTTTGTTGATGTCCCTCTCTCACTTTGTGGATGGATACTACTGATTTGGGGAATGAATGAATTTTTCAGTCGTGGATGATAGTTATATTTTTGGGGGTGCAGTGAGATTTTGGAAATGAGCAATAGTTTCAGATTTAAGGCTGTGAACTGTAGGATTCTTCAGGAAGATAAAACCATTTCCTTTTTGTTTGTTTGTTTAATTGAAGTTTATTTTGAGAGAGAGAGTGCGTGCAGGGAAGGGGCAGAGAGAAAGGGAGAGAGAGGATCCCAAGCAGGCTCTGCACTGTCAGCACAGAGCCGGACGTGGGGCTTGAACTCACAACTGTGAGATCATGACCCGAGCTGAAACCGAGAGTCGGACGTTTAACTGACTGAGCCACCCAGGTTCCCCTAAAACCATTTCTTTTTTTTTTTTTTTTTACACACATATTCATTTATTTATTTATTTTTTCCAGGTAAAGGATTTTTTTTTTCAATATATGAAATTTATTGTCAAATTGGTTTCCATACAACACCCAGTGCTCATCCCAAAAGGTGCCCTCCTCAATCCTAAAACCATTTCTGATTAAAAATGGGATGTGAATGCTCTTCTGGCATGGCTTTTTAAACTCATAAGAGGATAGTTCCCCGTAAGGGGTCCAGGCCCTCTGTGAGCAACGAACGGCACCATATTGTTGGATCATGAGAATAGATTCCAGTGCAACTCAACTCAGCATTGCAGCTCTGCGATAACCACCCAGTTCTCTTTGTTTAAGAAGGAAAAGAAGTCCTAACTACCATAGAGGCTGGGGGTCATTGCACTTCTCGCTAATTGGAATGAAAACTCCTTTGACACTGAAGGAAACATTGCCACCGTTCCTCGTTTAGTCATTCTGCCAATCTTTCCCGAGGACTTTCTGGGTGCTGGGCTCCATGGATTCCACAGACAGGAAGTGTCCACTCTCCTGGAGCTTCCCTCATGCCTTTCTGGTCTAGAATTTCGTATAGATGGACTCACACCACGTAGACCCTTCTGGCTTCTTGTCCCTGGCCGAATGTTTCGTGGCTGTCCGTGGCAATGCACGTGTCAGCGCCTGCTTTCTTTTCAGTCTGTGGAGTGTTGCCTTGCAGGGCCTCTATCATAAGTTGCTTGTCTGTCGACTTGCTGATGCACATTTTGGGTTGTTTCTAATTCTGGGCATGAAGAATAAGGCTTCAGTGATCCTCCACGGCTGGCTCTTTTTAATGCCCCATTGTGCTCCTTTCTCTCGGGCATATACCCGGAAACGGAATTGCTGGTCAGAGGGCAGGTGTGTGTTTAACGTCATTGGACATTTCTAAGCAGTTCTGCAAGGTGGCTGTGCCCCTAGACTCCCACCAGCAGTGCCGGAGGCTTCCCGAGTTCTTGCCCTTCTGTTTTCAAAGGCCCTTGCCCTGCTCCTGCTGGGCCAGGCATTCACGTTTTCTCTCCTTTTCTCTCTCCCCAGATGCTCAGGAAATTTCGAAGCGAAATGCTGATTTGGTGAGTCTTTATGTGATTTGGGGCCAGCTCTGTTGGCCTTGGGCTCGTCTGCTCTGCACTTCCCAGGCCCTTCCCTCTGCCGGTGGGTCAGGAGCCCCAGCTGGAGAGAGGGCCCCAGGCCCCCCCGTAGCTCCCTGGCCCTGGCACAGCTCTTCCTGGAGCAGGCTGTCCAACCCTACCTGCTCTTTGCTCCTCTGTGAAGCCAGGGGGTCAGACCTCACTTGAGGCGGGCCTCACCACTGGCCGTGGGACTGAGTCACTCCCTCTTGTTGACAGCATTTGTTGGTTTGACCCCTGCGTGCCAGTCCTGGGCCCCATGCTGGGATACCTGGGAGCGGACCCCTTGTGTTTCTAGCCCTTGTGGAGCCATCAGCCTAGCAGAGGCTACTTGCACAAAGAAATATCTAAATCTAAATCTAAATTTGAGTCTGAGTCTGAGTCTAAGCCTAAGTCTAAATCTAAATCTTTTTTTTTTTTTTTTAACGTTTATTTATTTTTGAGACAGAGAGAGACAGAGCATGAACGGGGGAGGGTCACAGAGAGAGGGAGACACAGAATCTGAAACAGGCTTCAGGCTCTGAGCTGTCAGCACAGAGCCCGACGCGGGGCTCGAACCCACGGACCGTGAGATCATGACCTGAGCTGAAGTTGGATGCTTAACCGACCGAGCCACCCAGGCGCCCCCTAAATCTAAATCTTAAGTACTGTGACAAAAAGGACAGGCTGCGATGAGGGAGGATTCCAAGGGAGAAGGGGAGTCTGGCCGGGAAATGGCATCCATACTCTGAGGGTGGATCTGGGCACAAGTCTGCCGACAGAGCGCTGCCCCCGCCCCCCCATGGTTCTCAGGTGCTCCTCGGACGGGACAATCTGTCCGGTCCTTTGGGGGCGAACGGCTCTGGGGGTTGAGTTTCCCAGCTGAGTGCTGCTGTGGGAACTGGTCTCTCTCCCAAGCTGGCTGCGTGTCGTACCGTTCGTGCTCACGCCCATCTGGTTTGCCGTCCGTTTGCTTCTGCCCTGGAATGCCGGGTGTAGGCCTGCAGCTCCTCGGTCAGAGAGAGGGCAGACCCCACTTTCTGTCCCACATCTCCAGACCATCAACCGCATGAGTGCAAACCTGGGGCTCGCCTTCGCTCCTGGGGAGTGCAGTGAGACCCCGGTTGACGTGGGTCCCTGTGCTTGGGCAGGCGTATGTCCTGAACGCGGACCCCTGTGGCCACTGCCTCATCATCAACAACATGAACTTCTGCCTCGAGTCGAGGCTCCAGACCCGTACCGGCTCCAATATCGACTGTGAGAAGTTGCAGCGACGTTTCTCCTTGCTGCATTTCGTGGTGGACGTGAAGCATGACCAGACGGCCAAGGTCCGGTCACTGCCTGTGGTCAGGGATGGGGGGGGTGGGCTGGGACAAGGGTCCTGGGAGAGACCCGAAAGCAAGCGACTCCCCGACACCCGCCCTTAGGACTGTAGCCCCGGGAGAGGCAGCGTGGCTCAGTGGGTACCAGTTCGAGCTGCAGGCTCAGAGAGACCTGGGGTGTGGACTCCCGCTCCCTGCCGCGTGACTCCGGAGTTTTAGTCTCCTTGTCTAGACAGCAGGCATGGTACTCACCTCCTAGGGGCATCGTGAACAGCACCCAAGCACGGCACCTTGTCCCCAAGAACGGTGGCTACTGTGGCTGTTAGGACTGTCCTTACTGCAGTATTGGCCCTGGGAGCAGGGAAGGTGCTCTGCCCGGGAGGGCCCAGGATGGGGACCTGTTGCGTCAATGGCCTGGCTCATCTGTGACCTTGTCTTGTAGCAAATGGTCCAGGTGTTGGTGGAGCTGGCGCGGCGGGACCACGGTGCTCTGGACTGCTGCGTGGTGGTCATCCTCTCTCACGGCTGTCAGGTACGAGCTGCCCGGAGACGCTGCGCTGAGAGGCTGTGAAGGAGCCCCGTCCCTTCCTGTGTCCAAGACACCCTGGGCTTTGTGGGCAGAGCCGTGGGGCCCTGTCTATCTCCTGTTGTTTTCCTGGGAGCCATCCGGCCCTCTGAGGAAATGGATGCCCCTCCTGGGAGAAGCCATCTGGGAGAGGCAGGGAGGAGACGAATTCTGCTCACAGAGCTCCTAGCCTGGATTTTGTTCAGAGTCGGGCACTGCACACAGGGGCTCGCAGCTCCTGCCTCCGTCTTGCATTGTCCCAGGCCCTTTGCTCTGGGCTGGGTGTCAGGACACTGGGACCCCCTCTGGGCTTGGCCACTAATGTGCTGGGTCATCGTCGTGGCCCGGCACCTCCTGCTTCCTGGGCCTCAACTTCCTCATCTTTATAGCTGAGCGTTGGCATAGGTCAGAAGCTCCAAGCGGGAGGCCTGTCGTCCCCTGTGGGGGTTTCACAGTGTTTTCCAAACTGGCAACTGTTGCACAAAAATCAGGATTTCCAGCTTCTCTTGAAAAACCACAGTGGTCGGGCCTTACTAGGCCACATCCTCACAGAGCAAAACTCTGGCCTACAGCTGGGCAGGGACTGCCCCTTTTCATTCGTGGTGTGACCCCTGGACCGGCAGCATAGGCCTCACCAGGAAATCATGAGAAATTCAGACTCTCAGGCCTTGCCACAGACCTTTTCATGGAGAGCCTGTGCTTTGACAAGGTCCTGTCCACATAAAGTTTGAGAAGAACTGGCCTAGAGCAGTAGTTCTCAATGCTTACCTGCATCAGAAGCTCCTGAAAGACCACATTGCTGGTCCCCACCACCAGGGTTCCTGATTTAGATCTAGGGGGGAGCCCAGGAATCAGCAGGTCTTACAAGTTCCCAAGTGATGCTGATGCCTCTGGTCCAGGGACCACACTTGGAGAACCACTGATCTAGAAGAAGCTGGCTGGCACTCTCCCATTAGGCTGTTTTAGCCATGGGAGTCTGAGACCCTTGGAATAGATGCTGACCAGGGCCCTTCCAGAACGAACCTCTGTCTAAATCAGCCTTATGCCCCTGGCTGGGGCCTTCTAAATGCTTGACCCCCATAAAGCCTCTGGACAGTGGTTGGATTCCTCCTCCAACTTCTTGGTTTTGTAACCAGGATTCTTGGTCTTCTAGGCCAGCCACCGCCAGTTCCCAGGGGCTGTTTATGGCACAGATGGCTGTCCTGTGTCCATCGAGAAAATTGTGAACATCTTCAATGGATCCGGCTGCCCCAGCTTGGGAGGGAAGCCCAAGCTCTTCTTTATCCAGGCCTGTGGTGGGGGTAAGCAGGTCCTCAGTCTCCCTGCAGGTGACTCTAGTGGGGAAGGAGCCGCCCCCCTGCCTCCTCCTCCATCCAGCCCCTCCTGATGCCCAAGGGGGTCCAAGCAGTCAGAGGGTCCCAGACATGGTCCCTTTGTCCACACTGCAGTATCTCCCTCCGGTTAGAGTAGGCCCCAGCTGTGTCCAGCCTGTAGAGGTTAGAGCCTCTACCGTGTCACCGTGCGGTAGCCTCAGGGGCTCATTCGGCTCTGGCAGCTTCAACTCCAGAGACTCAGTAGTAACAAAGCAGGGGACAGAGAAAAAAAAAAAAAAAACAAAACCCTTTCATTTTCCTTATCATTCTCCCGACCTCCCTCAGCTAGACCCTCTTTCCACTGGCCCAGAGGAAGGGAGGCCGGGGCTAAACCAATTATTAGAATTGCCAAAGGCCCAAGTACTGGAGATGTCAGTAATTTTTAAGGATCATTTGGATCCTTTGTGATTTTGCCATATGCCCCGACTTTAAACCTAAGTCCGACGTCACCATTACCTGGTTTCCTTATAAAGTGAAAAAAAAAAAAAAAAAAAAGGAAGGAAGAGAGAACATTGTGTGTCCTGAATGGTGGGACATGATGGCAGAGGTGGGGGACCCTGGGCATCCTGTCCCAGGCGTTCCCTTGGCCCAGGGCTCTCCAAGGGCAAGGATGTCTGAAAGACATGCCAGTTCCTTGTCCCCCAGCCCCCTCTGCGTTGTTGTACCACGGAGCTATCCAGCCGGCCCAAAGGGGGCGCCATTCACACCAACGACCTGTACCTGTAGCATAATCTTCTGAACGCGTCCATCTGTCCCGTACTGTTCCACATTGGCAGGGGTGATGTGAGGGGATGTGGCTCGTCTAGGTGAGCAGGCTCTGGTCACGTGATTCATCTGATACGTGTGTACTGAGTATCTGCTGTATACACCAGGCTGTGTGTTAGGTGTTCGAGATACAAGCTACACAGGGTCTCTGTCCCCTGGAATTTATAATGTGACTGGAACTGTATCAAATCACTGTCGTGACCCATGCCCGTAACTCAGCCATGGGTGACTGAGAACCCCAGGTTCGATCTTGGTGGCTACTTCGTTCCTGCACAAACACAGGCCAGCTAATCTCTAGAAGTCTTGGCAAGTAGGGATAATAACAGGACCCACGTCCTAGCGTCCCCGTGAAATATTTAGCGCACGAGTTGGTGCATGTGCAGCACTGAACGTAGTGCCTGGCTCATTTGCATCACTGCAAACCTGGACTCTCCCCCTCCCCTAACCCCAGAGCACCCCGTGTCACCTAAGAGCCCCCTGAGCCCAGCACGGTTACCTGAGAGTTACGGTAATGGGAAGGTGGAAAGACTGCCGCTCTCGGAGTTGTAGAAATCCTAGCTCGTTGTTGTTTTACGACCCAGAATGTGTCACCAAGTGATGTTGTTAACTCTGAAGCGAGTGGTCCTTTCCTGTGTGAATAGAATAAAAGATGAAACAGGCAAGGGAACTGTGGACGAAGGGCGAGCTGGGACACCTGCTTTCTGGAAAGTCACGGTTAGCTGGTCTTCCGGCTCAGTGCCCCCTCATCGCCCATTCTCGGCAGCACGGAAGGTCTTTCCCGTGTCACTCTCTGGACTCCTCAGCAGGCCCACAAGGTCCGCGGGGATCTGGCCCGGGCCACTTTTCATCCCCCAGCCTGGCATGCCGTGTCCCGCCCCAGCACCATTCAGCCCTCCCAGGCTCTGGCTTGCTCCTCAGCCCTCCCTGTGCCATCCCTCTGCCTGCCCTCCTGGCTTACTCTTTAAAAAAAAATTTTTTTTTTAATGTTTGTTTATTTTTGAGAGAGACAGAGCGTGAGCGGGGGCGAGGCAGGGAAGAGAGGGAGACGCAGCATCCGAAGCCGGCTCCAGGCTCCGAGCTGTCAGCACAGAGCCCGAGGCCGGGCTCGAGCTCATGAACTGAGAGATTGTGACCTGAGCTGAAGTCGGTCGCTTATGAGTCACCCAGGTGCCCCTCTTTTTTTTTTTTTTTTTTTTTTAGGTTTTTTATTTTTAAAAAATCTGTGTGCCAAACGGGGGGCTCGAACTCACAACCCTGAGATCAAGAGGCCTGTGCTCCACCAACTGAGCTGGCCAGGCACCCCTCCTGGCCTACTCTTAATCATCCATTCTTCTAGTTACAGCTTATTGTCTCTGTGTCCGGGAAGTCTTCCCTATACACCCCCTCCCTTGCACAGAGTCAGGGTTAGTCTCTGTGCTCACGCAGCCCCTGTCCTTCCCTTGTCACAGCGCTTTCTCCTTGTGTTGAGATGGCCTCATCCCCTGGTGGCTCTTCGAGGCCAAGGCCAGGCCCCTCTGGTCCCCCCAGACCTGCCACTAAGCTCACAGGATGGTTGCATCTTATGTGCATCCTAATTATTCAATATGAAACAGAACCATATAAAAATCACATAAGCAAAATTTTAAGTAATGTAGACTCCCTCCACCACAAAACACCCACCTTAGTGGGAGGAGCAAGATTTCAAAGCTGCAATGCAGTGATCACGATCCTGGCTTTGGAATTCTGGGCCCTGCTCAGCCCCCCCGGGCCCGCTATTGACCTTGTGTGTAACGCTGTGGCCACACGGGGGCGGCACGGTGCTGAGAACAGAAATGCTGCCGGGTCTGCAGTCTGCACCCGTGTTCTGCAGGGTGGCCTCTTGTTTACGGCCATCTGAACGTCTGCCCTGGGTTTCGGTGACTCTTGTGTTGCTTTGGTAAAATCCACTGTCATTACAACTTAAAACAGTTTTCAAATCCTTTGACGTGTCGTGCCCCCCACTGGTAAGAGGTAGGGGTGCATACCCTGGAGCAGAGATCCCTGCCTCCAAGTGAGTAGCGCGGGTGTGGAATGTCAGTGAGTAGATAGCGTAATTTGGCATCTAGCGTGATGCGCTTGGCCAAGGCTGAGCGGCCTCTGTTAGCCCGAGCTGTTCATTTTGGGGCAACCCCTCTTTAGACTTCTAGAAATCACTCCGAGAAGGCAGAAGGAGGAACAGCGTGTTGCCGTGGTGGTTGTGGGTTTTAGATGCTGATAAATCCTGCTGTGTGTTCATTTTTCTGGGGAAGTCAGTCTGCCTTACGGAGGGGTTTGAATTTGTGAGTCTGTCTGAGAACAAACCATGTGTAAGACAGATAACCCCGGGGGCGAGGCTTTCGCATCAGGTTTGTCTGTCGCATGAGGAGGACACGGGAATGGAGATTCCTGTCTCTCCCAGATTCCCCTTTCGGATCCCACCATGTCTTCTCCGGCTTCCCCAGGTCGTCCCTCTGCCCACCTCTGCCTGCTTAAGCCATTCCTGTGGCTTCCCCCACAGCAGTGCCCCAACCTTTCCTGCCACCCACATCTCACGTCCCTGCCCCTGTTCCACTGCAAGTCATTTCCAGACACCCGGGCAGAATCCCAGCCCCTGAAGGTTGGCTGTAAGAGCAAAAACAGATTACCAAGTTCCCGAGTCAAGTGTATGGAGTGAGAGGCCCATAGATGTTGGGGCTATCATTATGGGGTTGCCAGAACCATCCTTGCCCTGTCTCTGCCCCCTGCCGAGGGAGCCGACTGAGTCAGCCGGGTGCCTCTACAAAGGCTTCTTTAAAATCACGGTTTGTGGGGCGCCTGGGTGGCTTAGCTGGTTAAGCGTCTGACTCTTGATTTTGGCTCAGGTCATGATCTCGCGGTTCATGAGTTCGAACCCCGTGCTTGGGATTCTCTGTCTCCCTTTCTCTCTGCCTCTTTCTCTCTCTCTCAAAAATAAATAAACGTTTTTTAAAAATTAAAAAAATAAAATCATGGTTTGTGACACACGTAGTAGATACACACACACACATATACGCACACACACAGACTACCCCTGGGGTACAGAGCACCCACACAGAAACCGAAGAAGACACAAAAGAAGAAGACAGGGTCCTGCTTTCTGGGGAGCTGAATGCCCAAACAGAAACATCTCTGTCCTCAATTTACATTGAGACTTAGGTTTAAAAAACTGACATCGAACTCGTCTCTTTGCTTTTTGGGGGTGGACAGGGATAGAGTTGAGGGAACAGTCCGTCATACGACAGTGTTCCCTCCCTTTCAGACAACCGAGCGGAGAAAAATTGCCATTCTTGGCTTCTGTCTTCGAATGCCAAGTAAGGTGGATGTTGTGAGCAATTCGACCTTATGCAATCTTGCCTCGGCTGCTGGAAAGCACAAAGCCAAACGCACGGGCCGCCTCTAGCAAGCACGCGGGACCTTACAACATGCGTTTCTAGATCCCGAATGTACTCTTCTTCTGCCCTTGAAGTTTTACTTCTTCTCTATTTTATTCTACTCTTATCATTTGTGCCTACCAAGCTATCTTCTTTTAGGGAATCAAAGAAGGCATCAAATCATAGGTCATGAGATTTTGGCCATGTTTATACCTTCTGACCCAGTAATTCCCTAAGGAAATAATTCAAGCGAAGTCAAAACGCTCTACATAAAACAGGGTGCCTGGGTGGCTCAGTTGGTTAAGCATCCAACTTTGGTTCAGGTCACGATCTCGCGGTCCGTGGGTTCGAGTCCCGCATCGGGCTCTGTGCTGACAGCTCAGAGCCTGGAGCTTGCTTCAGAGGCTGTGTCTCCCTCTCTCTGCCCCTCCCCTGCTTGCACTCTTCTCTCTCTCTCTCTCTCTCAAAAATAAACGTTAAAATAATAATAATAATAAAAATCCTCTATGTAAAGACACCTGTGGCCACGTGAGCCAAAAACTGGATATCATCTAAATAGCCAACATTAAGGAAATGGATTAGTGAGGGCGTATCACTGAAACAGACCATTATAAAGCCATTTGAACTAGCTGTGATGGGGACTGTGGAGATGTGGAGAAATGCTCCCGGGACAATGTGCCCATGGGCCACAACCCAAAGGTTAAGAGGCAGAAATGGGGGTAGCTATGTCAGGCTTGCAAGATCCTGGATGATTTCCTTAGCCGTCTTTTCCATTTTAAAATCCTAATTCCCCCCCACACAGCAGCAGACCTGGAAACCAGGGGTCAGGGTAGGACTCGGGCCACACACAGCTCCCATCACAGAGCCATCGGGATGGCGACATGGCAGGAGTTTCTCCGGGCACAAGCTCCCCGGAGGGAGAGCTCACTGCAGGGTGCAGTGTGCTACTCCAGATAGAAAGCAGCTAAAAGGAGCTTCTGTAAAAGCAGAGGGCAGAGTGGCCCGGAGGGTTCCTTAGGGAAGGGTTTCTGGAGCCCTTCCGGGGGCTCAGGCACCCCCCCCTTTCAAGGCTGAATAAAGTGAATTGTTTTTTTCATGACGTGAGGTTGACTACTGTAGCCATTTTCAAGTGCATACAATTCAGCGGCTGGGAGTGCGTTCACAAGTGTGCAACCATCACCATTCCCTGGTTCCAGAACTGTCTCATCGCCCCAGACTGAAACCTCATACCCCTCAGGGCTCACTCCCCCTTCCTGCCTCCTCTCAATCCCGGGCAACTGCTCACCTGCTTTCTTCTCCATGGATTTGCCCCTTCTGGGTCTTTCACATGAACGGAGCCAGATACGTGGCTTCTCGCATCTGGTTCTTTCGCTCCGCGTGTTTTTCGTGTCTACCCACATGGCCCTAGGTATCAGCACTTTATCCCTCTTTAAGCCTGGGTGAAATTCCACTGGCTGTCTGTGCCACCTTCTGTGTATCCGTTCATCTGTCAGCGGACACTTGGGGCGTCCCCACCTGTTGCCTGTTGTGAATGATGCTGCTGTGAACTTCGCTGTGCCAGGATTTGTTTGAACTTCTGTTTTGAGTTCTCTTGGGTGTGTACCTCATAAGTTGCTTTTACAGCTTTTGTTCTTAGTAGTTATTTATTTTTGAGAGACAGAGAGACAGGGAGTGACTGGCAGAGGGGCAGAAAGAGGGAGACACAATCTGAAGCGGGCTCCAGGCTCCGAGCTGTCAGCGCAGAGCCCGACACGGGGCTCGAACCCACAAACCATGAGATCATGACCTGGGCTGCAGTCGGACACAACTGACCAAGCCATCCAGGCGCCCCTTGTTTTCACAGCTCTAGAAAAGAAATCTCTGCACCCCCGTCCCAATTTCTACCTAATGGGTGTGCAAAACTTTTGTCACAGTAAAAAGTAAAGCTTCGGTTTCTGTTTCTCGCTCAGCGCTGGAACCCTGGCTCCGGAGGGAATCAGGCAGTCTCGGGCTGGGGCGGGCCGGGTGTCGCCAAGAAGCAAGGAGCAGGGGCTCTGGTCGGTGTTTCAGTGACGAGTGCTGTCCGTTTTTGCTTCCTGCAGAGCGGAAAGACCATGGGGTTGAGGTGGCCTCCACGTCCCCTGAAGACAGGACCCCTGGCAGTGACTCCGAGCCAGACGCTGTCCCGTTCCAGGAAGGCCCAGGCACCTTTGACCAGCCGGACGCCGTGTCTAGTTTGCCCACACCCAGTGACATCTTTGTGTCCTACTCCACCTTCCCAGGTGAGCACATCAGGTGTCCTCCCAGCCGGCGGGTCCCCCTGTCAGCCCTAGAAGCAGCGGTGTTGTTAAGGAGCGACCTGGGGGTGTCTTGGCCCTGAGCCTTGCCATCTGCGGGACCCCGAGCAAGTCACTTCGCCTCTCTGAGCCTCAGCTAGGATGCAGAATTCAAGGAGGCCTGTGCTCTTGGGTTTCTGTGCCTCACTTGCCTCACCCGTGTCCTGGCCCCGCCTCAGTATTCTCATCTTTAAAATGGGAAGAGCAGTCGTACGTCAGGGGTCGTCGCGGGGATTAGCAAGGTGGCTAGCACATCCCCGAGCACAGTGCCTGGCACGTAGCAGGCGTGACGGGCATTAGAGTCCTTCCTTTCTTAGCCCTTGGGTGAGTCACTTGACTTCTCGGAGCCTCGGTTCCCTTGCTGGGAAGGCGGGAACCAGAACCAAAGTCCCAAGGCGGTGGTGGCCTCACGACCACGCAAGAAGGTCGTGAACAGGACGGGGCGCAGAGATGTGTGGATGTGTGAATGGGTCCAGGTCCACAGGTGGCCCCAGTCGGGGTGTGGGGGGCTCTTAGCGGCTCTCCGATAAAGTTCCGCCTCTCTGCTTCTGAAGGTTTTGTTTCCTGGAGGGACACCAAGAGCGGCTCCTGGTACGTGGAGACCTTGGATGGTGTTTTCGAGCAGTGGGCTCGCTCTGAGGACCTGCAGACCCTCCTGCTCAGGGTGAGCGTTGCCGTCCTCTGGGAGAGAGAGGGGAGGCTTCTGGGAGGGGCAGCGTGTCCTCCTCAGGTGGGGCTGGCGGGGCCCCAGGCCCAAACCGGAGGTTGGCTTGCTGTGAGGGCTGGTGTTGCCGTTACTGTAACCGTGACAGTGACACTTGCCCATTACTCGGAGGGCTGCCTTCCCTGGCTCCTCTGAGGTCCCAGGCTGATACTGGGACTCCCACTGGCAGAGGCAGCCCTCCGTGCCAAGGCAGCTCAGTGGCCGGAGCTGAGTGGCGTTCCTGAGGGCGGGTCGTGAGGCATGCCCCACTGTGTAGTCTTCTCGTCTTTTACATTTCTTTAAACATATTTTTATTTTTGAGAGTGAGAGAGACAGAGCATGAGTGGGGGAGGGGCAGGGAGAGAGAGAGACCCAGAATCGGAAGCAGGCTCCAGGCTCCGAGCTGTCAGCGCAGAGCCCGACGCGGGGCTCGAACTCACAAACTCCAAGATCACGACCTGAGTCAAAGTCAGACGCTTAACTGACTGAGCCACCCGGGCGCCCCTTTGTCTTTCAGTCTTGACCCTCAAGTATTTCCCCTTGTCTTGGGGGTCCCCCGGGGGAGAGCAGGAAGGATGGTCTGATAGGGCCCCAGACTCACTCAGTGAAATCCCACTCAGAGCACACATGGGCCTCTCCTGCTTGCTCAGGTGTTCTGTGTCATGAGAAGGATCTAGAAGGTCTGGGACCCTGCCTTCCTCCTGGGGAGGCTCTGGCTCTGGGCTTTGCTGAGCAGAGCAGCGGAGAAAGAAAAAGCAAGTACAGGGTCACCACCTGGTACAACTCCAGGGGGCGCCATGACTCTGGGCAGGTGACCTTGGGAGCAGCAGGGGGGCCTTGCCGGTTGGGGGTGGGAGTCCATCAGGGCCAAGCAGTGCACTTGACTCCTGGGCCTCATCTCTTCTCTCAACTTTTCTTTAAGGAAACCTTTCAATTTGATTTGAGCCTTGTGAAGTTTTGAATTTTCTCATTTCTCATTTTGAGTTTTGTAAACTCATAGTGGAGATACTTTTCTCTGTTAAACACTCTCCCTCCCAGCTCAAGGAGGCTGCAGGTAGAGCTGTTTATTTTTGTTTTTTAAAAATGTTTATTTATTTTTGAGAGAGAGAACAGGAGAGAGAGTGCAAGCAGGGGAGGGGCAGAGAGGGGGGGGGGACAGAGGAGCTGAAGCAGGTTCTGCACTGACAGAAGACAGCCCGACGCGGGGCTGGAACTCAGGAACCGTGAGATCATGAGCCAAAATTGGACGCTCAACCGACTGAGCCACCCAGGCGCCCCTAGAGCTGGTTTTTAAAGTAGGTTTTAGGGTTTTATTTATATATTTTTGTATGTATGTATTTATGGAAGTGTAGTTGACATATGTAGTCACGTTACATTAGTTTTGGGTAGTGATTTGACAATTCTGTACATTGTGCTATGCTCACTACAATAAGTCTAGTCGCCATCTGTCGCCATACAAAGTTATTACGATAGTCTAGACTATATTCCCTCCCTATGCTGCACTTTTCATCACGCCGACGTATTTCGTAACTGGAAGTTTATTCCCCTTGCTCCCCTTCACCTATTTCGCCCATCCCCCACCCCCGTCCCCTGCAGCATTATTTACAACAGCCAAGATACAGAAGCAAGCTAAGTGTTCACTGATAGATGTATGGATAAAGGAGATGTGAGGTCTATCTACGGTGGAATATTACTCGGCTGTAAACAAGAATAGGATCTTGCCATTTGCGACCACATGGACGCAGCCAGAGAGTATTATGCAAAGTGAAATAAGTCAGACAGAGAAAGACAAATACCGTATGCTTTCACTCCTGTGTGGAATCTAAAAAAACAAAACAAACGAACAAGCAGAAACAGACTCCTAAACACGGAGGACAAGCCAGAGCTGTTACAGGGCTGGTTCAGTGGACATCCCCCTTCCTCCTTCTCTGGAACCCTTCCTTCCATCGAGAGAGCTCACGGACTCCCCTGTGCTCCTGTTTTCACAGGTCGCTAATGCTGTTTCGCAGAAAGGGACTTACAAGCAGATTCCTGGTTGTTTCAATTTCCTCCGGAAAAAACTTTACTTTAAAATGTAATGAGGCCAGGGCCCCTGCACCCTTTACCCCAAAACCTTCCTGCTCCAGGCCCAGCGGCAGTGGAGGTCTGATCTTTGCTACAACGACAGCTGTCACTCTTCGAAGGGGTTTGTGGCCTGTAGTGGGTCTACTCTTTCCCCACCAGTGGCAGACAGGCTCTTAGCAGCTTCCAAATTGGAGACGGATGACTGGCGACACAGGAAGCGGAGCAGAAGAAAATCAAGGACACCCAGGACTCTTACCAGTGGCCTGTTCTCCGGCTAGTGGCTGTGGCCTATGACCCCTGCGTTTTCTGTAGAGTAAGGCTTTTTAACCTCAGTCTGATTGACATTTGGGGCCACATGTTGGGGGGGGGGCGCCTCCCGTGCATGGTGGGACGTTTAGCAGCATCCCTGGCCTCTACCCTCTAGGTGCCAGGAGCACCTCCCCCTGCGTCGTGACAACCCAAAATGTCTCCAGACATTGCCAGATGTCCCCTGGTGGGACACCCCTTGAGAACCACTGATCTACGAGAAACTTTGGTTACAAACAAACCATCTCTCTCAGATCAGCAAGTTTGGGGCTACTAGTCTGAAAAGCCGGAGTCTGCAAATCCTCAATGAGGTTTTAAAAATGATCAATTTTTCTTATATTCTAGTATTAAAAAAATCTTAGGGGCATATGGACACTTTTCCCCCCTTGTTTCCCCCCTTGTTTTGCTCCAACTCTTTGTTTTTCCTTATAAAGGGGATTTTTGCTTTTCTGGGAACGTTTCCCCGTCTCTTACTTCATGTGAACCCCACCCCATCCCAGGGAAGGATGACAGGTCTGGGAGCCGTGTCCTCAGGGAAGTTAGGTCACCTGAGCCAAGGGGAGCGTAGATACGGCCCCACCCCCGAGGCCTGGAATCGTGACCTGTCCAAGTGTGAAATAGTCCCGGGGGCTTCTGGTGGTTAGTTATCTGTGGTCACCTGCGGGATGGTACAAGGAAACAATCCAATTAACCCGACAGAGCCCAGCAGCGCTTGGCCCTCTGCCTGCTCCCCGCTTCCAGGCTCTGTACTCGCCCCTCATGCGAATCAGGTGGTCCTTGCCCGAGGCGCCCGCCCGAATCGAATGGTGTTCAGGACGAAAAGGTGTTATCCCAGCTTTTCACTGACCTGGCGGGGACTTCCTATAAAGGGGTGGGGTGGGGGGGGGGGTCTTAGCCCAGAGTTCTGTTTGGACTTCCGAGCAGCGGGCCTGTGAACCCCTGAAAATCATACGCCGAATGTGTAGAGGGACAGGTGCTGAGATTTCATTTGTCTCTCAAAGGGATTGAGAGCCTCAAAAGTTTAACAACTAGCACTGTTTGCAAGGCCACCCCCATGGCGTGTTTTCAGAGGCTGGGTAGCAGTGTCATGAAACATGTTACTGCCCCAACTCCATCGTCCAGTGACGCTGCTGGGCCCAGCTCTCCAGCACAGATACGCTGACCAGTGTGCAAGAATGTGTGTCCCAGGATGTTCGCTGCAGCAGTGGGAGAGAGAATAGGGAGCAGGTGAAAGTGTCACTCCTTCTATTCATAATATGGAATATTATTTAGCTGTCCAAAAGAATGGCCCGGATGTATGTACTGACACGTAAAATGTGACACAGTGCCGAGTGAAAAACACCCAGTTGCAGAGCAGTAGGAAGCATACAATGCTATTTTCGGTTAGAAAGCTATGGTATATGAATGTACCCATATGGACGTGTGATGTATGCACATAAATAAAGTCCAGAAGGCCATACACCGTGCTGTTAACAATGATTACCTCTGCAAGGTGGAACCGGAGAAGTAAAATGGGGGGGACTTCGCTTTTTGACTCGATACGCTCCTAGATTCTTCCCATATTTTTACAAGGAGTATATGTATTGCCTTCTAAAGTAAAACTAAAAATCGTGGATACGAAGACGCACGTGTTGTCGCCGTTCAGCGAACATTTGTTGAAAGGACGAATGCCCTTGGCCACCTGTCTCCTGCCACCTCCCTGCTCGCGCTTTTCATTGGCAGCCTCCTGACTTCGGCTCGTCACCTGTCTGGGTTTGCGTGGGCAGGTGTCCCCAAGCGCAGTGTGGGGCTCCAAGCCGCACATGCACGGCCCCCCTCCCCCCCCGGGGGTCCCGGGGCTGGGACCACTGCGAGGCTGCCCCCGCCTTTCTGCAGCTGCTGGGGGGGGGGGCCTCCACCCGGGGACAGCTGGCTGCTGGGCTCTGCCAGTCCTGGAGCCCGTTAGCATATGTGCCTGTCCTGGCTGCTGTCCCACAAGCCCAGGGCCTCTGCCCAGCTGCCTCACGAGGCTGGCCTTCCCCGTTGATCCCCTCCGACATCTGGCCACGCTTTCGGCCGTGGCCTGCTCTGTTGTGCCTGTGTCTGCGCCTGGGAACAGCCAATGCTGGGGCAAAAAGGACAATTGTCCCCGGCAGTTGGGTCCCCGAGGTGCTGCCCGGACCATCTGCACGGTGACTCGCACAGCAGCCGGGGCTGGAAAGGGTCCTAGGATCTGGCTGGGCAAAGGCCCTGAGCAACCTTGCGGCCAGCCAGCCTGGGGCCAGCCTCCTTTGAAATGCTGGTGGCTCCTCAGAACCTCAACTCCAGGTCTCCTCTGCCCAGACGGAATCGTGGCCTTTCCCCAGGGGAGCAACCAGTAAACTGTGGATTAATGGGCACTCGCTTCTTGATTTTACACAGTTCTCCAGCAAACTTTTCTGGAATCTCCGGTGCCTGTGACCACCCGATGGCGAAGAGAGGCAGGGGGACAGACAAATGAACAAGGGGCCGGCACGTATTAATGAGACGTGGGGGCAGCCACCTGCTTATTTTCACGGTGCCCGTCTGACAGTGTACTTTTCCGCTCATGGCTGTGGTTTCATACTTGATTTAAAATTTTTAATGTTTATTATTGAAAGAGAGAGTCAGAGCATGGGCAGGAGAGGGGCAGAGGGAGAGGGAGACACGGAATCGGAAACAGGCTCCAGGCTCCGAGCTGTCAGCACAGGGCCCGAGGCGGGGCTCGAACCCACGGACCGCGAGATCATGGCCTGAGCTGAAGTCGGACGCTCAACCGACGGAGCCACCCAGGCGCCCCCATGCTTGATTTTAAAACAAGACTGTTGGTTTGACTCAAACAGTTCTCTGCAGGTTACATTTAAAAGAATGAAATCACATGCCCGCTTTCTCTTGTTTTGGGGCTCTGTGGCAAAGCACACGCAACTCCCACTTGTTCTGGCTCCTGGTCTGGTTCAAGTCCATTTTACAGAAGAGTAATAAGTTGAGGCAGTGGCAATGCCAGGATCCATCACTAGACACCATGCCTCTTCCTCCCTCCCCCCAGGCCCCCCCAGGCCCCTCCTCCCTCTCCTAGGCGCCCCCAGGCCTCTCCTTCCTCCCCCAGGCCTCCCAGGCCCCTCCTCCCTCCCCCAGGCCCCCCCAGGTCCCTCTTCCCTCCCCTAGACCCCTTC